GAATTCTGAAGACTGGTTAAAAACAAAACTTCTGTAATGATAGGATTGCAGGGTTAGTCCCAGCTTTAGTAATCGTGGCCTGCCTCCAGCATGAAACTATCTACAGTTTCTCCCTTAGAAAGCATAGTTACCTTGGGGCCAATTTTGTATGGAATGCTTGAGATCAGTTTGAGGTACATTGGCTACATATGCACCTATGTTTATATCTGCATATTACAATTCTGTGTTATTACTTTGGCATTGCTTTTAGTACAAACTTACATTTATTTCTGGAGATTTTACTATTTTATTATTATTTAATTACTCTTGTAGTGAATGCTCCTCAAAATTCTGCTGTGATAGGGATGTGATGGCAGTTTCCAGGCACAAAACACTTGCCAGTATAATCTTCAAGATATTGATTATCAATTCAGGTAACAGAATAATGCTCAGCACAGACAACTACTGTGTAACAACAACAAAAAACCCTTATGTATAACATGTTTGCATCTCAACTGATATGGACTTTTAGTCTTATATAAATTTTCCTCTTTCTGTCTTATTCTGATATTTATTCTCTTCCCATATACAGGTTCTTTTCCTCTCATACTGTTTCCTGATTTTAGTATTCTGTTATGTAGCAGGGCTTTTTCACATCTGTGCTCTGTCACAGGATTTTAGCAGTTTGCGGTATTAAGCATCACTAGATCTAGCTGCTTTGTGACTGGAGAAGGGGACAGGAAGAGGAGAAAGCATGAGCCAGTGTCCATTCAACCGCTGCACTTTCAGGTTATCAATCAGTTATCCTGCTAATTACACACCTGATGATCTTTGTCTCCAAATTCAGCTTGAACGCATCTCTCCCCTCAGGTTTGCTGTTAGACTGCCAGTGGGTACTTCAGCAGCACTTTTTAGGACATCCATAGTTGCTCTTTCCACGCTATTTGGCAAGACTTTGACCAAGAGCTGCCTTTCTTTGAGTCCTGGTTGGCAGCTGTCTGTCATGTATTTCAGGTGAGAGATCTTTATTGCTTATTGGCCAGCATTCTCCCTGTCTGAGTCTCTCACCTTGACATCTGTTCACTCTAAGCAAATCATTCATATCCCCTCGCTCCATGGTTCCTGCAGGCAATTGCACTTTATTGATCACACACTTCCTATTGTTTTCCAGCCTTCTGCAGCACTTTGTGTGAGTTTCTGACCATGTGCTCATTCACTAAAAGAAGAGGTGCTCCTGCTGCTCATGCTTCTATTTGTTTGATTCTGTAAGATGATTGCTGAATAGGAAGTAAACTAACTGCAAAAATGGGGAAGTCAATACGACTTAAAATACCGTAACAACGAGACTTTGCTGTGCTCTCCCTTCAGTGCTGAGGACCCAGAGGAAGACTGTTTTCTGCTGAAAGCACTCAGACTGGCCCAAAATAGGGGCCGAAGTGGTTACCAGTTACAAAGGTAAGAAATGATTTTTTCTTGCTAGTCTTCATTTTGTGGGAGGGCATTCACTAGAAAATACTCTGAGATCTGTGCCAGTGAGCCTCTGAAGATTGGTATTTGCTGTGCTTTGTGCCTTCTATGTGATATTTTGTACCCTTCCTAGCGACATCACAACTATAGACTATTCATCATTGATAGGACATAATCAATTACTGATTCTTTTTGGTTTCATTTTTATCTTCAAGGGCTAGGCTTTCTCCTTCAGCCATTTACTTAACTCCCTTTTCATACTACGTTATCCACTGACTTATGCACACCTCTACAGTGTTATCTCTTCAATTTCAATTTTAGATTCTGAAGTCCAGGTCATTTGCACAATTAGACATAATCTAAAGTTCTACAGAGAAAAAGTTAATAATCTCAATGAAGCTACACTGAGTCAGAATAACTAAATTATCTGTTTGGAGTTGGTTGGAGCCAGTGTAGGGAGCACCTTTGTTGTCTAGGGCCATCTTTAGACATTTGTTACTTCTAAAAGTCTTCTGATAAGGTTTTAGACCATCAACTTAAGAACCCGATACAGTTATTTGTAGCTAGTTCTAAACAAAAGCTCTTTCCGGCATGAAATTATGTAACTATACATCTTCCCTTGCTGTCATTTTTTGCCATTTTCTAACACTGAGAGACCTAAAGCAATTCTCCCTGCTTTAGAATCTCTGAAGTGAAAAATGAAATGCGTTGAATCTACATTATAAGTATATACTTTTGGAATTACATCGTTGCTATGGCAATGCACAATCTTCAGTCTTTAACTGGATGTATCCAAGGCCATTCACATGACAGAATGATTGGCTTCTAATTATGACTCTTGGTACCTCCAGCATTACACACCTCAGTGCGATGTGAGGAACATAGTAGGACATCATGTTTGTCTCTTCTGTGGACGTGGTCTACTAACAGACCTGAAAAAGGCTGAGAGCAACTTGATTGCATGGAATCTACACGTGCAGGAGAGCAGGTGTGTAACACTGCCAGCCTTCAGTGCTGGTCCAAGGTGCAGATCTCAGATGTGATTTTCACATCCCAAGGCCTCCTGGTGCAGCAAGGCTTGGAGAGAACTTCTCTATCTGAAAAAGAGCAGCTCTGTCCAAACATCCTAGTAGGAATGATCCCAGACCAGTGTTAATTCCTGTGACTTGACGGCATCTTGGAGAGTTGTAGTTGGCCTGCTCCAAAAGTGTGTGGAGACGGCATAAATAATTAGACAATATGGGCAGTCACAGGGCCACTTTGGTTGTTTGCTAGTGCAGATGGAAGAACTGCATCTGAGCAACTTTCCCAACATGTCACCTTTTGTTTTGATCAGGTGGGATCTTGGATGTGCATCAATGCACACTTTGCCCCTCCTCTGCTTGCCTGTGCTCATCATGCATGGAGAAGCATGAAAATCATTTCTGCAGCGCCTTAGGTTTAAATGGAATAGGTTTAAATGCCAGTCCAGAGAGAAGCACAAACACCTGACCACACAACCTTTCCTTCAGCTGACAAGATTTGTCAGTCTTTGTTGTTATATTGTCCCACCAGGCACAGACATTTCTCTCATTAACCTCATTATCTCACTTTTGTCCAACCTGCTCTCCTGGAGAATTTGTAGTTTTCCCTTCAGATTTCCCTACCGAAGGCCATTCTAATTGCAGTTTTGCTGCAAACAGTGCAATTTATGTGTCTGCAGATATTTCCTCATGTTGACTGTATGTTAGAAAACCCTTCCCTGCAATGTGATGAGGTTCTGCATGTAGAAGGTAAGAGTGAGTACAGGGGGACAGGTGTAGATGTGTAATAGCATTTTAATTATGGCAGCTACAGTTGATACAAGCAAGGTTTAAAAAAAAAAAACAAACTTTGATAGTTATTTCATAAACTTAGGAATGTACTGTGATGATTTATAATGGAAAAAGGGATTCAACCAGTATTTAAGGAATATCTAGGGCAAGTGCTGTGATGGGGTGTAGTCCAAAGTATGTGCTGTTTGTGCTGGGCTGTAGGTAGGGCTTGTTAATGAGGAGCACTTGCATTGTGCTACGGAAAGACGTGGCTGATGTGTTTGTGATCCTCTTCTGCTGTCTGCCTCTGAAGATGCCCAAAACCTTTCAGTATTTAGGGTCATATTTTCAAAGGTATTTAGGTGCCCATTAGTCTGTGAAATCAGTAATTTAAATGCCTGCATCTCTAAAAACGTGGCTGTTGGCAGCTGAACAGACAGGACTGAACATGGGAAAAATAATGTGAACTCTCACGGCAATCACAATATTACTTGTCCATGAGATGTCTGCATTGGCATTGTTTAGAACAACATGAAGAGCAAAACCATGATGCCTTACTGGAGATCTGGTGGCACTGTTACCCAGCAGTTTCATTTCTGGGGTTGCTTCCTTCCATGGCATCCTGAGGGGATGTATGGGACAGTTACATGTCACAGAACCATAGAATGGTTTGGGTTGGAAGGGACCTTATCCACTTATCCACCTTATGACACTTATCCAGTCCCAACCTCCTGCTGTGGGCAGAGCTGCCCCCCACCAGCTCAGGCTGCCCAGGGCCCCATCCAGCCCAGCCTTCAGCCCTCCAGGGATGGGGCACCCACTGTTTCTCCAAGCATTAAAGAAGTATCTTCATATCTTTTTACCTGTGTGATTTTAGAACGATGACTGCAGATCATTCACCTGAATTTGTATCTGCTAATTCCTGAGACTTCCATGAGAAGCAAAATAAATCTGAGCTTTATGTTTCTCCAGGATAGCCATCGCATTTCAACTTTTCTCAGAGGATAAGGATAATTCTATGGAAAACACTGCTCCCTTATCCCCACTACTTATAAATCATGTTTTTTTAGGGTCTCCTGGGGTTTGTTTGCAGTGATTACAGCATACGCTCTGTGAACACATGGATGCATGGATTTGAACCCAGCAAAAATCTGCATTTAAATGATGCGAGCAAAGAAGTGGAGCAGCTGCGGGACAGGCTGGGTGTGATTGCCAACTACGGACACCTGTATGTGGGAAAGAGGTTGCTAAGGGAAGAAGAGCCACTTCTATACCCAAAACTTGTGTTTTGATCCAGAATGCTCATTTCAGAACAGATGAAAGCCAAGGGCTGTTTTAAGGCAGAGACCTCGGGCTTGGATTTGCTGCCCGGAGTTCAGCCCTCAGCATCTCCACGGCGTAGCGCCTTTGGAACCCCTTTCGTTTCTCGATACTCTGTAACACGAAAATCGTTTGCCTGAAGGGCGCGATCTGCCCCCGTCCCTCGGTTCCTCTCACGTTGGCAGGCTTCTGGGGCGGGCAGGAGTGGAAAAATGCCGTCCGGGAGAGGAGCGGGGCCCTCTTGGCACGGCTTCGCGGGCAGAGCCCCGCTCCTCGCACACGCGGAGGGGCTGCCGGAGGAAAGTTGGGCTCTTCGCTCTGTCTGCACTTCCTGTGGAGCCGCCCGAGGCTTTCGGCAGCGCCCGGGCACCTCCTCCCGCCCCACGGGGCTCCCGCCCGCCTCAGCCCGGCGCGGGGCTCTGCGGAGCTCCGTGTGGAGCGGCCCGGGCCCGGCAGCTCGCCTTACGCACTCCTCCGACCTCGGCCCTTTGGATTTGTATGTAATTATTATTATTAATAATAATTGAGGAGTTAATTTCTTTTAAGGAGAGCGCGAGAGAAGGGGAGGAAACTTTCTTACCTTCCCCCCCCCCCCAACAAGGACACTCCGGATACTTTTGAAAGGGCGGAAGGGTGAGAAGCAAAGCGAGCAGCGCTGCTGAGGACATCTCTCGCTCCGCAGAAGGGACCCCTGACACTTCGCTGCTGGATTAAAGGCTGGAGCTGCAGAAACTCCTCCCCTTCCCCCCGGTTCTTCCCCCCCTTATTTCCTAAGACCATTAAAAAAAAATTAAATAATTAAGGAGCACGGGAGCACGGAGTGACTGCTGCCGATGGGATAAGTGGAAGAGAGCCCACCTCTCCGGGCCGGGATGGGCAGCACTGCCATGGACACCAAGAAGAAGGACTCGTCCGGCAGCGGCAGGAGAGGCTCCAGCCAGAAGAAGCTCGTGCTGCGAGTGCACATCCCCGTAAGTGGTTCTCTACTCTCCCTCCCCTTGGCAGCCAGCGGCGTTGTTTTTCCCTGACACGGGGCTGGAGGCACGGGACGGTGTTTCTGCTGCGGGTACCGCGGTCTGGAGGTGGGGGTGTTGGTCCCAGCATCCTCACTGGTGGATCTGGAAACTGTCCGTGCTTTGGGGTTGACGGAGTGCATTTTATCTGACGGTTTCGTGTCTCGGATCCAATTCACATCTGAATCTCCCCCGGCACGGGGACCCAGAGCTCCCTTTGATTTTGTCCCACAAGTCTGTTCGTTGCTGAAGAGTCAGGAGCAGTTGTATGACCACACTGGAACAGAGAATCGAGCCATGCACTCGTGCCCCAACTCAGTTTTGGGTCATATGTTCACACAGTAAGGAAAAATGCAAGAATCTGTACTATATATGTACCAAATAATCTCAGACCAGAACTTTCTCTCTGTTCCAATGAGTACTCAGAAGCTGCCTCATTATGTGAGCCTGCAGTGTTTACATCCCTTTTGATTATTGCTTTCTTGTTGTTTGCTTGCTTTTGTTATTATTTTGCTATCAGGGCCTTCTTGTTATCTATTTAGTTGTTTTATTCTTAGTACGTGGCTTTGCTTCCAGTGCTTCTTGCAGGAAATGTCTGATATCTTTTTCTGTGCACTCTGTTTCTTTGTTGAATATATTTTTTAATTTAATCTCATCATATAGAAGTGGGAAACAGTCCTGCACATGTGTCTGCCAGGACACTAAGGAGCAAAAACATATTTGTAAGTTTTTCCTTTCTTTTAGAGAGAAATAAGAAGTCAAAAGAAGTGCATTAGGTCTTAAGCATGTGGAATAAGATGGAGGAGCAACTCATGGCTCTTCTGCAGATTTCGTTTTTCTCTGGAGATGACTGCAAACCCAGGAGCCTAAGCCAAATTTCTGCTGTTCTGTGTGAGTGCACTCAGTGCTGGGAGAAATGGGTCTAACGTGGTGCTGCTGTGTGTTTGTGATGGGAGTTTTTGAGCATTAATCTTTATCATGCAGTACTTTGCAGCTGAGGTTCCTTAAGCTTATAGGCATATTTCTTCACAAGCGTTACTTCAGCTCTGTCCTGGATGGAACATCATGAGTCCTGGACCTTAATTTTTCATGTTACTTTATGGTTTCGTTTCTCTGCTCGTCAGTTTCTCCTTTAGCTAGTGGTGGTTACTCAGACACAAGCCTGATGTTGCACCGAAGCCCACATGAGTTTTATTGTTCACCCAGTTGGGAGCAGTTCAAGACTTGGTAACAAGCCTTCCATCCCTCCTTCCTATCCTCCAAATGTGATCCCTCTGTTCCATACTGCATTATTTTATCATTCCCAAAGTGAGCTATTGGGCCCAGATCTTTACAGGTAGTACCCTCCTTTTTGGTGGTTTTCTGTTATCTGGCAGTTTAAGTGCGACTGTGCTGTAAGGAAGAACATTTTTGTCATTCTCCTCATTTGACAGTGGAATCTGCATTTGAAAAGATCCATTTAGACTGTTTTTTTTTCTCTTTCATAACGTTTTCTTGGCTGTTGTTTTGAAGCATCATTCCTGTTATTTCAGCGGCGCCTGTCAGTGTAGCTGTAGTTGTCAAGGGAGCTTTCACCAGACAGTCATTTTTATTTTGTTCATCCTCTTCTTTGTTTTATTGTGAGATCGTGTTTATTGCTGAGACATGTAATTCCTGCTCTTTGAGATCTTCAAGTTAGAAACGGGAAAGGTCTGAACAGGAAGAGAGAGAGGAGTCAGTTGCAGCAAGAGAGAAAGGTGCTGTTGTGATGCAGGCTGTCCTAAAGCATCTTTATTAACCGTGTAGAAATTCTGACTTTGAAAACAATGACAAATACTGTGAAAAAGAAAGGTGAATAATGCAAACTGCCCTCCGTTTGGGTTAGAAAATTGTGGAATAGTAAGCATGTCGAAATAATAACTTGTATGTTTTCCATCCCTCTCCCACGCAGTCTTATTTTTTTTGGTTGGCTTCTGACAATGGGAAAAAACACCAATTTAAGAAAGCTGGTTTTGTGTCTTGCAGCACCCCAGGACATTTCTCAGGTACATCTTTCTTGAGCAAGAGCATCAGGATATTATTAAGAAAATATATAAAACAGTCTATTTTTGCTTTCTTTCTGTGTTGAATCTCCTTTGGGACAAGTTGGTGGTGCCCAGGCTTTGCTTCTGGGAATAGCAGTAGACCTCTAAGTTTCTGCTAGTTGAGTCTTCTAGACTTGTCATTCGGTAACCAAGAGTGAAGTGGGGGACTCAGTGTTCTGGTGGCATGGCAGGGAGGTATTTGCTGAAGTGCTGGACTGATTGAACAACTTTTTAGTTCCTTTGTTGTTTTCTTTGCAAATGCACAACTACCAACTACTGATTTGGATGGGCCGCAATACGACCACAGGAGCCTTTGTGAGGTAGTGGTTGTGTCAACCTCTGCCTTTCCCAGCAGTGTATTTTAAAGCCTTGAATTTAGAAATGCCCAAGTGGAAATTTCTGATCCGTTGCCATTGGAATCCACTACAGATTTAGATACAGCTCCTTGCTCTCTAGGTGCATCACATCTTTCAGATGAAGACATTAGCATTATAGAACTCCTTTTTAAGCTATTAGAAGATAATGCTTCCACATTGCTTTGAACGTTTTAAGACCTCTAAGATGGGATGCAATTGTCTACTGAGTAGGAAGGAGCTCACCATAGTGAGATCAGCATGTTCTTTTGTCATCTTGCAAAATCAGTCTGTTCTAATGTTAATATTATCATTCTGTCCCATGTTGCTATAAAAAGGAGAGATTCTGCTCTTGCTTGCTTTCTATTACAGCTGGGATAGTTCAGTCAGTGCCAACAAAGTTCTGTTGTGTTTACACTATTGTGGCTGAGAGCAGAACATGTCTCAAGAGCCTCACCATGGCAAGCTCCAAGCACCTGCTGCTCCTGGCAGGTGAGAATTGCAGAGCTTTGGCACTTCCTTGGTTTGTACCCAAATATGTCACAAGGTGACATTTTATGCAAAGAAACAAAGAGGTTTTCTTTTTTTTTTTTCATAATAAGGACAAAGATTACGTCTGCACATAAATGTGAAAGCATCTTCTTTCAGTCCAGTGATGTGGCCACTGTCTCAGATACTTCAGCCCTGACAACAAAGCAACAGGGAGGCTCTGGAAGACCTTTATTGTCAATATCACACAAACGTTTCTGTACACTCTTGCATATTTCTCTGTCATCTGCTGTATTTCTGAGCAGATTCCTCAATTTGCAAATTGATTACTGTTTCCAGGCCTGTTATTATGTTGGAATGCCAGGCTGAAACATCAGATGGCTTAATATTTTCTGACATGAGAAGTTACAGTGATGTTCTGACAGCTAGTGTTCGCTCAGGCTTTGCCTCTCCATCTTCCTTGCCACGCTTGCAAAGTCATTACAGGCTGTGTGCCTAATAAGTCACTGTGAAATGATTTTGTTCAGTGACAGTTTTTGCAGGGTGAGTCTTGTCTCCTGGTGATTGTTGGTTGGGCTGGTGAGAATTGCACATAAGTCTAAGGAATGCTTTAGAAAGCTGCAGATGAGAAGTAAGGTTGTTGGCTCTTTCAAAGAAATTGGAGAAATCAGCTTTCGATGGGATCAAAGAATGAAAAAAGGTGTTTCTTTTCTTGTGAAGAGGAGGTGGAGGGAGATGGAGACAAAGAGGAGAGAGAAATGTTTCTCTAAAATTAAATCTGCAGCTGTCCTCCCTCTTGCTCTCACAGGCAGACTCTGAGTTGTCCTGAGCTTCTGTGGCCTTGAAGTTTACGTTTGGACTCCTGCCTAAAGGGCTGACATCTTAAACATCTGAAGAAGGCAACAGGTATTTGCTAAGGAGCTTTGAGTCTGTACTTCGAGTCTATCTGAAGAGTAAAGGATTCCTGTTTGCAATCAATAGTTGCTACTGTGATTAAAGAAGCTGTTAGTGTTTTTAGTTTTAAAGCATAACACAAAGTGGTCATCGTTTAGTTGAAAAGTACTGCTTCTTTAAAACATCCCATTTCTAATAGAAGGTTCTACTCCTAAATTATCTCATCCTCCTTCTGTTATTTATCCCTGAGAGCCCTGTGAGGTCTGTGAGCTCAGAGGAAAGACGTGAATTTCATAGTTGGAATAAGTCGTGAAAGTAGAAGAAAACTTACAGAAACGTGGATATTGAAACTTGGTTCCTGGGAATGTTGTTCACACCATGCTTGTATTGGGAATTACTGAAACAGAAGGAGGTGTCACCCTCCTGGAGAGATCAGGACTAAGCAAAGGTCTTCTGAAGATTCGTGATTTTGTAGTCCTTTGAAAGACTACATGATTTTGTAGTCTTCTGAAGGTGAATTCATGATTTTGTAGTCCTTTGCCAAAGAGAATTCATGTTGTTAAGAGTTAGTTCAGTTTTAATATGTAAACTGTAAGGTCAGCCATACTTTTTAGAGCCCAGATGACACGGCACCATGTTATGTCTGCCTCAGTGAGTCTGTTCCCAAAAGCTGTTCCTTCCTTTTCTCATATGCCAGTCTAAGAATATCAGGAAACCAGATACATTCTTTCCTTCTCTTGAATCATTTCCAGTAGCATCTTGTGGTTACTGTGTGCCCATATTAACACAGGATGAGAGGTTCCACTGTCTTGCTCACAGATCTGCAAGGTCCATATTACACCCAGTTTCACATGGGTACCACACTGCTTTCAAGGGAGCTGCTCAGAGGTGACTTGAAGCAGAATTTAGCCTTGAAGACAGGGTTAAACAGTTGTGTTAATGATGTAAACAGTTGTGTTAATGATGTATGTGGACTCATAAAAGTTGGTTGATGTGCCTCTGTGCTGGCTCAGCATGGCTAGTGGGAAAGGAGAGGAGAAAGTAGTAGGAATTCAAAACAGCGTCAGCATGGTTGTTGGTAGACTGTTATGGGCATACATGTTGATTGAGTGCGTCTTACATTGTCAGCTTCTTGAAGAAAAGCTGAATTTATATCAAA